TGACCTATTCTGTTTTTGTTAACTATAATATTAAATTTATTTAAAACTAGCCATGACAAAGCGACAACTCGTTCTGCTGCACGTCAGTCTCAGGTTAAAGATCACGAAAAATGTTGGCAAGAAAGTTTCGTTGTCGAATATTGTCTAATGTGCGCTGTACAAACGGATGTTTCTAGAAGCATCTAGCGACGTAGCTAGTGCTTAAGTTTACATGTTCAGAAATAATGATTACAAAAGAAACCGATCGACGGGCTTCAAAGGCGCTAGTTGGTTCATGCTTGTCAGCATGTGGACAAAGGCGAAACACGAAGATAAGAAATTGACGAAGACAACGTGTCTGGAGTTGCTGAGTTTTACACTGGATACCAATGCTCCAGCCGTTGCAAGGTAAAGATGGGGACAAAAAGATGCTCCGCGTGAAGACAGCCATATTGGTGAGTCGAAAACAATGTTTGTCTTCATTGAGACAGTTTGACAGTTGTTTATCAATAAGTGACAACGACTCTAACGTCATCGGTGGCAAACTGACGTAAAAGCAGAAAGCGTCAAAACCGAAATTTCCAAGCAAAGAATGCACCAGACTTGCGCTTATCTGAAATACTCTACTCAAGATACTATAATTTAAATACTTTTTTTAAAGTATCTTGCTATGTTGCAAATACTTTTTGTGACTAGATCCGATCAGGCTTTGGACTCTGAATTAGCGGCGCATCCGCCGGCTGGCTGACACAAAACACCGTGAGACTCGAAGCGGCCGCATTAGCACAATAATACCATAAAAAAACTATTCTCATATTATGAAAGCCACCTCCTCGACACTTCATTGGCTGCGAAACACTTCCTTTGCTTTCCCTTCTGCAATTTTCTCACTCACTCAAGCTGTCACACTCATCATGACGGAAGACGAAGGTTCTGTTCTACCGTGGCCGTATCTAAAACCTTATTTTGAATGTGTGTCCGAGAAATGCAGCAATGCTTCCCCAAAACAAAAGTGCTTTCCGTTATCCAGAAGCACCTAAATGTACGTTTGAACTTTTATTCTTGCTTTCAAACTTCATCTCTACATGTACAATTCTATAATGTTATCTCAAAGCATTTGCATTTCAGACAACTCTGTGTATTTATTTCGCTCGAACACAAAAAAGAAAGCTGCGTGCCCTTTTGTTTATTAAAGCGACAGCCTTTTTAGGGAACCCCCCCACGGACCTTTCCTGCTCGTGTTGGTCTGACCGAATGACGTCACAGTTGTCGCGTGACTCCATGGTGTCACGTGACGTGACGTCACAAATACCTTCGCTAAATTCCGATAGATAGTACTGCTGGTTCAAGACCCCTTCAAGTGCTAACGCGCACTCGAGGCATTTGACAGACCGCCTTTGCCAGGTGATTCTTTTTTTTTCTTCTTTCGTGCTTAGGCGCGTCCTTGTAAAGAGCTGATTACTCGAAGGAAACCAAACGGAGCCGCTCCAATACGAAACTATGTGACTCAAGACAAACAGGACACAGATGCGAAACGCGGGAGCATCTTTTCCGAGCTTACGACGTCGACTTCCGCCCGCCGCCTGACGCCGACGTTTTTATTCTGACTCGCTCGGGAAGGAAGCGTTCCATCAGATTATCGTTGTCGTTGAGGAAATTTTGCATGCCATTTCAGCTCGGTGTTTCTAGTTGTTGTTTTTTCCTTTTTCTTTCTGAAAAAAAAGAAAGGTTAATCAACTAAGTTGAACTTACGCGCAAGAAAAAAATTCATTCAAGCGTTGTTCTTTTTTTAGTTTCTTAAACAAACAAAATAACAGCTCCATTCTAAAACGTATATCTGGGATCGAATTTCGTTACATCACGTAAAACAATGCTTTTTTAGTCGGGCAGATAAGTGGTGAACTTGTACCGGCACCTGTCTGTAGAAAATACCTCAACATGTATGCAAAAGTCCCATTTCTTTGGTTGACAGCTGTGACAAGATGTAGATGCTCTATGCACAGGTTCCAGCATTTTATGGGTATATTTTTAATTTCGTGCTATCTTATTTACTTGAACTATTTTTAACAACCAAAGACTTGCATCACCAAGATAAACACAGGGAGTTTACATGGGATCAGAATTTACTAACATTTCCCTGCAGGTGCTATAAGTTAGCTGAAAACCACCCGTTCGTTTTGTTGTTTGTATACTTACAGTAACTTTGAAATATACGCCGCTCTTAAGGATACAATGAATGAAGGAACAAATACTAAATTAATCAGCATTTTATTTTCACCAAAAAGACGGGTTCTCTTTTTGCGCTTGGAGATTTCAATTTAAAGTCTCCAGGGGTGGACAGCGATGCTCTAGGTGTTGGCGCATTCTTGAAACTAGTTTCAGTATACCTCCAGACTTTCTTTGATATGATCTCACCATAAACGCGACATTGTGTACCAAACCGATGCCTCAAACGTCTCCTTTATCGTTTATATGTTCAGGCAATGCTGAAGTCATCTTCGTGTCAGCGCTAGTTTCCGCTCTCCCACTTCGCCACCTTCGACACGATAAGACACGGATATCCCCTTGCGTCCTGTTGTACAACCTACTCTTCCGCCTATCAAGACAGAATGAGCGATGTATCTAAAGAAGGTGACGAAATTCACTAACCTTGCCGTAAGATTATAAATATGTTTGTACAACTATTGATTTCCTCGTCTTTTCATCATCCTTATTCTTCTCTCACTCCTTCAAGTATTAACATCTCAACTAACAATTTTGTATATATTTTATTTATGCATATTTTCAACTTTTTTTTATAGACATTCCCTGAAAATTAGGAACGCAAACAATTTTCACCGCTCATTTTTTAAAATAAACATGACTAATAATAATTGATAGCAACTTTCAGAGTTATACTTTTGAAAAAAAAAATGTCGTGCATTTAATGAACAATTCATTCTACCGTACTTTAGACTCAGGCTGGAAGTCACACGACATGTTCACAAGAAAGGTTTGTTGGCGGATATCGTCTAATGGGCGGCGAAGAAAAAATTCTGTGATGTGTTTGAATTTATTTCAAATTATTTAAAGCGTTTCTGCCTGTTTGGACAGATTGTGTGTAAATATTTTATCTTAATATTCCCAACAGTATTTTATATTTATAAAGAAAAGTATTTCCTAATACTGCGTTATGAATGTAGGGAAGTGTAGGAAATAACTCAGTTTAAGGTCTGCTACACTTTTAAGTAAGTAATGCATAGAGAAGAGGTATTCAAGAAACTTGTTATTTTTATTCGAATTTAAGACAAAATTAACATATGATACAGCTGAACATGTGCAGATTAGAATTAGAATCTCCATCTGAGCAGCACATGATGAACGCATGTAAAAAAAATACATATATTCATGCATTACTCATAGGGTAGGTATTTTTGTAAAAAAAAAGCTCGTATTCCCTATACACATAACTGACTTTTTGCTGAACAAAGAAACCAAAATATATGCACCCAAACCTCACCATACCATACGACAGACCCTATGGATTCTAAATGTGCGTAGTTTTATCAGCTCACTTTACAACTTGAACGGGCTCAAGAATCTCCGTTATCTTACACACACATTGTACACATAAAATACAAGACATTGTCCACTGCTGTGCGCCACATCATTTACTTAAAATATCACTAAATAGAAAATTAGTAAAATCACGTGGAAGGAAACAATGCCATTGATTTGCTATCTGACAGGAAAAAGTGTATGTCAGACATCAATGGCCAAACATTAAATTACCCTCTGCGTTCTTTACTGAGAAAGCATGAATATACACAACGCGTCAAATGGTTCTTTTGTATGGTATTAGGGGATGGGGGTCGCATGGGGTGCATGGGTTTTTCTCCCTCAATAGGGGTGCATGTTAAATAAGAAACCATTAGAAAAAAAAACCTTGTAACCGTAAGCATTTAATTAATCTTCGTATTTATTACTAGGGCGTCGAATCCACACTCCAATCACAACGTCTACAAAAGTCTAGAAGTCTCCATTACCAAATTCAGACAAACCAAATCAGTCTTGGTGGTTTGCATGCCGCGTATAGGGCAACATCTGCAGTATCCTCTTGCAAACCTCCACGTAGAGTCACATAACGCCCGGCTATTAGGCAGACGGGACGCGGGGACAATTAAAATTCTGCGCGTTAATTAACCCCAATGTACAATTTAATTGCTGGTCCCGGCTCCGCGCCAGCAGCCCCTAATGAGGATTCAGCGGCACGCCCTTCCCGTAGCCTTTCACGGTCTCGTCTCCAGGCACGACCCTTTTTAGCGGCACGCACAACCCTTTCGCGGCGCTACGTCAAAGCACTTACAACACTTCATTAGTCGACTCCATAAATCACCCAGGAGGCTGGTATGCAAGAAGAGACAAAAAAGAAAAATGGCGGGAGGTCCGCGTCTGCGGAGACTTCAAGCCCACAAGGAACTTTCGCTCTTGCTACTCTCCAATCCGCCCACGGTCCTTCCTCTCTACAATCTCCGGCAAGCGTCATCCACGTTAAAAACAAATCAAAAAGAAAACCTGAAAACAGACAAAGAGAAACAGAGCGCAAAGCTTCGCGATAACATCACGGGGTTCAAGAATCCGCTTTCCCCCTCGCCTTGGAAGGGCGCAACCCAGACCGACATATCCTAAACGGAACATCGCTAACCTCCGTTCACCCCTAAGCTGGCGGCGCAGTGGAAGCTACGTGCTCCTCGGACCAATCATACGCCTGTCCTTCGCTACGTCACCACGATTCTTCTGCTCATATCCACGCGCAAAGAGCGGAGTCAGGTGACGAAAGGGAGGCAGCTGATTGGTCCTGCGAACGCGTAGCTCCCACCGCACTGTTATCTCAGGGGTGAACGGAGCATAACAAAGGGAGTCCTCCTCCGGGCGCCGAAGTACACAAGATGTCAGCGCAGCGCGCCCGCTTTCGTGACGTCGGGCGTGACGTCACGAGGCGTTTTGGAGGGATGACGATGCTCCTCGCGCTCGCCCGGAGTGGAGGAGCCTCGGGGAGAGGAGACGGGCCTTTCGCCCTTTCCGTCAGCGCGCGCGCAGGACGGGCCAGAAAAACAGGAGCCAAGCGTGCAGTCGCGTATAAATGCACTTGGAGAGCAAATGGATCACTAGGGCGTTGGTGCGAAGCCCACACACAAACCCGTGAAACGAAATCTCAGCTGGGACTTGCCAGCAGATTGTCTCTCTTCTCCGGAGAGAGCCGAGGAGCCAGCCTCGGCGCCAGCGTCGTCTGCCGCGGGTCGAGCGTGTTCGTCTGCTAAATCTTGTTGTGGTTCTCCGTGGAACGGCGATGATGGGAGCATCTTTCCTTCTTCGAGTCGTTTGGATGTTGCTGCCGCTTCTGTGCGTGCTTGGTCGAGGTAAGTGTGGTTTCGGTTTCAGTTGGCCGTACGCGTGTTGTGTAGCTTATTGCTGCGCCTGTAATGAAGATGCCGTGTCTGACGATTCGCTTTCTGAATGTCCCAGTGCGTTTGTGGATTAGTAAGAATACTTCAGGCACCAGAATTTGAAGCAGAATAAATGGGGTAGTCGAAAAACACAATTTTCAGGAAAAGGGATGTAAAAAACTGTTACGTGGATCTTCTGAAGAAAAAAAAAAGTATCTAAGTGTTACTTCTTTCGTTACCAGAGAAGTATCACTTATCTTCATGTTAAGGCTGCAATCAGTATTATAATAAAAATCCATTGAAAAAAATGCGGTATTTTTTAAGAAAAAAGAACACGGTTTGCTTTTAATTAATTAGTGCCTCCCAGGCTGATGAAAAATTATTGCGAGCGTGTAACATCTTACTTTCTTATTTAAACTTTAATGTGAAGCACACTTAGAGTTTACCTTTGCCAAACCTAACAAAAATAAATTGACGCCGACGCCGCGGCTTTTAGAAAGTATTATAAACAGGTCATGCTGTGCAATCCACTGAAATGATAATGAGAATTAAAACCCGAAAATTCAATCCTTATAGCCAATTATCGTTGTATCTCGACTGGAAAGACCCAGCGCAAAAACGCATGGTTCCCTAGAGACTGATCGTTATAAGGGTACATTGCTATATCACGTATCGTTATAAGGGGATCGCACTGTAAAGGTTTTTACTTGTACGTGCATATAGTGTAAGCACTAGTGTTTTTTGGGCAAGTGGCAAATACCGATTAAAAAAAAACACACACACAAAAAAACAGCACATTAAAACTTAACCTCATATGAGTCTCAGAGTATCTGCCGACGTATCACAGAGAAATTTTGCCTTGAAGTTGGATTTATCCCGAAGAAGCTGTGCTTTTAAAGTGTTTCTATCAAGTTGTGCTTCCAAGCTTTGCAATCAGGCTGTGCTTAAAAGTTTTTGCTACCAACTTGTTCAATCAGGTTCTCGCTATGAGCTTATGCCTTCAAGATCTTGCTATCAACCTGCTTTAAAGGTGTAGCTATCAGCTTGTGCTTTTAAGGTGTTTCTATCAGCTTGTGCTTAAAAATTTTGCAATCGACTTGTGCATTCAAGTTCTTGCTATCACTGCAGCTTGCGCTTCCAGGGTGTTGCTATCAGCTTGTACCTTCAAGTTCTTCTTACCAGATTGTGTTTGAAAGTCCTTGCTGTTAGTTTGTGATTTAAAGTACTTGCTATTGGCTCGTGCTTTCAAGTTCTTTTGACCATCTTGAAATTTGAAGTTCTAGCTGTCAGCTCGTTCATTCAAGTTCTTGTAATTAATTTGTGCTTTCAAGTTTTTAATTGCTATCAGCTTGTACTTTCAGGTTCATGCTATCAGCTTTTGCTTTCAAGTTCTTGTTATCACCTGCGATATAATGAATTCTTATTTTGTCCAAACCACCGAAAAAAAAAAAAAGACTTTTAGCACAAGTCATCCAAAGTATCAAAAGCCTTACTAAACAACTGAGTTTGGGTCACTTTAGAATTGGTCCGGGACACAGGGCAAAAAAGAGACTAACCAATCGCAAAACACAAACACACAGACGCGCTAAGTTGTGCGTATTGTGTCTTGTTTGTTCTAGGGAGTGGGTCGGACGCCGATTACAAAATTCCCGCTCGTACCCGCATCCGCGTGAGATCCCGCGTAAACTGTGTCGTAAATACACACGCACAGATAGAAGAGCGTGCATATCAAAATTCGTGTCCGAGTATTATGTACAACCCGGAGAGGAGCGCACCCTTATCGCGGAAACTGTCTCGCCTGGCAACCAGGAAGTTGTCGGGAGGGTTTTAAATGCGGGGAATTTACGCTCGCTGGGCTCCAGAGCAGTACATTCCGGCCGAATATCCCAAACTGGTTTACAAATCCGGAGCAGGGAGATACAACACTGGAGAGTAGAGTCAAGCACGACTAAAAATAAGGCGGGGAAGAAGCGGCAATGAAACGGACACACATACACACAGAGACAAAATTCTCACAGTATACGCTCGGGTCGGAAGAGCTTTAGGAAGGAGATGCCAACTTCTCTTTGAGCTTCACTCGTCCGTCTCTGTCCAGATATTTGGCTTTTTCCTTTTTTTTTTATTTTTGGCCTCGGAGTTATTAACGGCTGAGGTCGTAAGCAGAATGTATGAAAACAGTTGGCGGGGGGTATTATTTTTAACAACCCGACAGAGGTAGCAAGTTGTGGCTTAAATAAAAGTTCAAAACAAAACAGAAAAAGAAAACAACAACACGCGTGAATCGCAGTTTTCGAATTGCGGTGTTTAGAAACATTAGAATTCGGGGTATCCGATCAGTGGCCTTCATTTTAGATGGAAATTGACAATGATAATCCGGTGCTTATTTCTCTAATAGCGGCCTTCATCGGCATTTATTATGCACAGCGCTACGCTATTATATACGTACACTTACAATGGATGAAGGACATAGCACGAAAAGCTAATAAAGATTCATAAGACAAATTTAAAAAAAAGGCAGAAGTGCCATTTTCTTTATTTCTTACATTTTAAAAAAACAAAGCAACAAGACCGAGGTTTTCACTAAATGCCAGAAGGTATAAACCTAAAATATAAATTTTTGATGTCCTCATCTTCGTTGAAAAGTGTAATTTTGCGTCAACATTCTTTTTGTAAAGGTCCGTTTCGAGCAAGTCCCTTAACTAAAGATGCTGCCAACTTTGTCAAACTCAAGGTCCGACTGGTTTTTCGAACCTTTGGTAAGATTCTACAAAGTTTTAAGCAGCGTTGCCCCACTTGTACAAAAACTTAAAATGAACAAAAGTTATTGATAAAATTGACTGTTAAAATTTAAAAATTTAAAGTATAATTACCAATGTTTACACAATATAAAAGCAGACATACAAGCTTTTTTAAACCAAGATTGTTTGTTAAAACACTGCACCCTTCCTTCGCCAAACGGTGCCAGCTCCTATTAATCTACGCGCACGCACGTAATAGTCGAACTTTGTCCAACTGGAACCTCTGTAGGTTCGCGACATTCCTAACTCAGACCCTGACGCCACCACGCGTTGAGCACATTTCGACTCGATGATCTCTTCAAGCTGGAATGTCGATTTTTGCCAGGCCGGATCAATAAATAGGGGACAAAAACGAACGCGCACCAACAAAACCGATAAAGAAGGCCTTAGTCATAAACATCCATTACTCGTGGATCGTGTCATACAGGAAAAATTTACACTACGCGACAGCGTGCAGCGTGTATGAGATGCTAACGAGGGTCGGCCTATCTGTGCCAAGAAGAGCGTCGAAGACGCGTATGTAAGCGTCTGTGAGTGCTTGGCATGGCGTCAACGGGAGAAAGATAGTGGGCCTGCTTACCGTATACCTGATAAAAGGTCGAAAGAAACAACACCAAACATGTAAAACAGAGACGTTTTTGATCCCAGATGTCGTGAAAACTATAGAATTTCTGCTAGCCACTGCTCTCACACTATAGTTGGTACTACGCTGCTCTTTTGTTGCAAAGTTTTTGCAAGGGTCTCTGTTTTAGCGTGGTTTAGTAAATCGCCATTTCGCATATAGTTTTTAGATTGGAGTTGCACATAGTTTCATGTAACAGTGTGTGCTATAATTTTATGATAGACTTTAAACAAGTCTGAGTTTATTTTCCTGTGTAAACACAGAAACGGTCAATCAAGGCGAACAATAGAGAGATCCCCGAATAATGGCGGAAGTCAGAATGCGCGATTAGATGCAAAAAAAAAAAATATATATATATACATATGGGCAGAAATATTGAGCAAAGAAAACGGCATATGCCCATAATACCTGCGCACAGGACTTTTTTTTTATTTTTTTATTTTAGGCGTTGTTTTTCGCTGGACACCTTTTATTGCTCCCCGCGATTGGACGTTTTATGTTCTGGGTAAAAGTGAACTCCCATCTCTCTTTTTAGTCTATGGTCAATATATGTGCTAGAATTTGCGGTCGACGTTCGCGTTGCAGAATGGTGAGATGCCTATTTATCGAATATTAGTAGCCTTAGGCCTCACGTTCATCGTATAGTTTTCATGACTTTTTTTTTCTTTTTATTATAGCATCTAAGTGAATATGTATACACGAAACTGTTATGGTATCTGGTAGCAGGTGTTTCTGGATTGGTAAAATACTTCTGCGTAATCATTTCGTTTTGGCGACCAAATACCTGTTGCGTTTTTGTAGTACACAGTTTCGTTATATCTTTGTATAGTATAGCATCCTGGTGGGCACCCTCTAATTGTAGATGATTTTTGTTATACGAGAAAATCTATTCATTTTTTTGGCGGATAGTATGCAAAGTACATTGAGGATACTTTGCGCAGAGTAAAGGGAGATTAAACATGATGATAGACCGCGCACAAATGAACAGAATTAACAGACGAAATAAGAAGAGAACGGAAGAGAAGTGCGTTCTCTTCTCACGTCGAACAGACCAAACGACCAGAAGAGAACGCGCATATCTTCTGTTCTCTTCTATACCTCGTCTGTTCTGTCTATTTGTGCTCTGGCTATCATCGTGTTTAATGCGTATCAGCTAGCCCAGCTTACCAGTTTACTAAAGGGAGATTTTGTGCCACTTTTATCAAAACATGAGTTTTCTTTTTGCGGTTCTCACAAAGTGCATGATAGATAGAACCACTTAGAAGTCAGATGTAAAGAAACTTTCAATACGCCAAAAAGTGAAAATTTTAAAAAGCAAAAAAAAAAAAAAAAAAAACAAAGAAAAACACAACTCTGTGTTGTAAAAATTAGTTGTTCTACCCACTTGAATATCTATTTCCTTGGTTTAGCTTGGGAATATTCTTTCGCCGAAGGATATTTTAATCTTAAGGGACTGAGTGAAGAAAATAAGATAACTCACTGAAGCCTTTAACAAATAAATAAACGAAGATCGCAGCAATGATATAAGATGAACTTCTCTAAAAGGGTCGCAA